GCTTCTTCTTTGTCTTTGGATGTGGGCTATCTTTTTGGGTAGGTTCCAATGTTTTTTTGTCAATGGTTGTTCAGCAGTTAGTTGTGATTTTGGTGTTTCTTTAGGAAGAGGTGAGCTCACATCCTTCTACTCCACCATCTTGTCTGTATAATCATTAGATAGGAATGACTACACTGGAAGTCAATTTTAAAAAGAGTGAAATAAGTATATTTATATACTGGATTTTATTGAATCTAAGACAGCCTTGATTATAATATGCACTATTATTTTACATACCATTGAGGGAAGAACTGCTGCAAATAAACTAATAGATCTCTGTGAATTTCAGAGATATTAAAGGGGGGAATCTGAATCATAAAATTGATGAAAGTTGATGTCTGTATGGAATCATTATAAACACTTGCTCTACAAACACAAGCTAATATAGCTGTGTGTGTTTGCAAGGCAGCTACTTCAGTGTCACTGTTGCCAGTGACATGATTTTCCAAAGTGGCAAACAACTTTGGGTTAATTTTCTAATAAAGCAAAGTACGATATCCTTTTGCGTTAACAGCATTTATGGTTCCTAGAAAATCCATTTTATATTAACACTGTACCAAAAATACTTTGTCCTTACAACCCTGATTCTTGATTCTTACTGCCTTCTCTTAAACATAAAACAGCAGCTTCATGGCTTTAACCCTGCTCTCATCTTTACATTTTTGTTCTGTTTCTGGACTACAGAGGCATTTACCTTGTCTTTATCCCCAAATGTGGATTTTTGTTTTCTCTTTATATTTTACCTATCCTGAGTTTGAAGCAAAGAGGATAAATCAAAGCCTGAACTTACTGACCCTATTTCCTTGGAAGTCTTTTTATTTGAAGTTTAAAAACTATTGCATGTGTCACTTTGATTTTTTAAAAATTCATTAAGAATATAGTTCTAAAATAAAAACCAGCAGCTAAATGCCATAGGCAGCCATCTATACAAAAGTAAGTTTGAGTGGCTACAATAAAAGTAGATGGTGAATAGCTCCTGTTAGGGAAAGACTGGTCACCTTTCTTTTTTCACAGTGTGCATCATTCTTCCCAACATCAAGTGACAACATGCTATAAGGTCCCACTTCTAATGTTATTTAACACAACAAGTTAAATAACATTAGGATTTAACATCTGAAATAAATGGTAACTTAAGCAAACAAAATTGTAAATAGAAACAAATGAAAAGACAGCCCACAGAATAGGAGAAATTGTTTGTAAATCATACATTTTATACAGGACTTGTATCTAGATATATTAAGAATTCATACAACTCAGTATGACAACCGAATTCAGAAATGGGTAAAGTATTTGAATAGGCATTTCTCCAGCAAAGACATACAAATGGGCAATGAGCACATGAAAAAAAAATGCTTGACATCATTAGTCATCAAAGAAATAGAAATCGAAACCTCAGTGAGATAGCACTTCATACCCACTAGCATGGCTAACCTCAGTGAGATACCACTTCGTACCCACTAGCATGGCTAAACTCAAAAAGTCACATAACAAGTGTTGATGAAGATGTGGAGAAATTGGAATCCTTGAACACTGCTGGTTGGAATGTAAACTGGTCTAGCTACTTTGGAAAACAGTCCAGCACTTCCTCAAATGATTAAACGTAGAATTGCCATGCAAGCCAGCCATTCAACTCCTAGGTATATACCCAAGAGAAATGAAAGTATATGTCCACAAAAAAACTTATACATGAATTTTGATAGCAGCATTGTTTATAAAAGCCCAAAGTTGGAAACAGCCCAAATGTCTATCAACAGATAAATGAATAAACAAAATGTGGTATATCCATACAATGGAATATTATTTGCTATCTTGAAAATATTATGCTAAGTAATAGAAGCTAGTCACAAAAGACTATACAGTGCTGTATGATTCCATATATATGAAAATTCAGAATAGGAAAATCTTTAGAGACAGAAAATAGATCAGTGGTTGCTTAGGTCTGGGTAGACAGGGCAGCGGTTAAGGGAGGGATAGCTAAAGGATACGAGGTTCCTTCTTTTTCTTTTTTTTCTTAATAAATGTATTTGTTTTATTTATTTATTTTTGGCTGCGTTGGGGCTTCGTTGCTACGTGCAGGCTTTCTCTAGTTGCGGCAAGGGTGGGGCTACTCTTCATTGTGGTGCGCAGGCTTCTCATTGCAGTGGCTTCTCGTTGCGGAGCACGGGCTCTAGGCCCACGGGCTTCAGTAGTTGTGGCTCACGGGCTCTAGAGTGCAAGCTCAGTAGTTGTGGCGCATGGGCTTAGTTGCTCCGCGGCATGTGGAATCTTCCCGGACCAGGGCTTGAACCCGTGTCCCCTGCGTTGGCAGGCGGATTCTTAACCACTGCGCCACCAGGGAAGCCCGAGGTTCCTTCTTGAGATGATGAAAATGTTCTAAAATTTACTGTGATGGTGGTAGTTGCACATATCTGTGAGTATACTAGAAACCGTTATTGAATTGTACACTTTAAGTGGGTAAATTGTATGGAATTATGAATTATATCTTCGTAAAGCTGTTTTTAAGAAAGAATAGGATATTCCAAAAAGTATGTATAATTTACATCAAATTTAAGGGGAAGAGACCAGGTCTTTACAGGTGGCATCTCTTAGCCCTCCCTCCCCTTCTCATTTGCCTTTTGCACCCCAAACTTGAGTCTGGGGGCTCAGAAGCCAACACTCTTTAAAGTCAATACCACCTCAAGGGGTCTGACTCCAGCTAAAAGAGAAGTGAGGATTAGGGAGGGTGGATGAAAGGATTTCTCTAAACCATCATTTACACCAAGCATAGGGCTTGCAATCAACCAGTGACAAAGCACCCAGGAGGCAACTGGCTACAAAAGCTTCTCTCAATAGAGTGCTTTCTCCTGGAGGGGTGAAGAAACCTCATTGTTACAGGCCTGGTACTGGTAGTGTGTGGCATCTGAAATTAGATTGCTCCGACTTCAAAACAGACCTGTGCATGTGGTGCTCAACTATTTTGTGCTCTGCAGGAGGCAAGTGAGGCCTATGTGGTTAGCCTGTGTGACAACACCTGTGTGCTTTCTATACCAAAGTGGAATAATTGTGCCAAAAGACCTTCACTTAGCATGTTGTACACTTGCCCAATGTTTTGCAAAGGTGGAGAATGTGCTTAAGAATTCATTTTAATGGCAATAATAAAAGACCCAACATCTTTTTCTCATTTTCTGTAGTCCTAAACATTAGATTTTTTTCCTGTTCAGTTTATTTTTCCAGTTTTTTTAAGATATAATTGACAAAAATTAGATTTTTTTTCTTTTTTTTTTTTACCATGAGGTCAAAATGTACTTAAGTATCTTGATTGTGAATGGAAAAATAGGTGACAGAATCGGTTATTGGCAAGTATTTTTCCATTTTCATTAGTGTATAAAGTTTTAATATAAATATGGAGACATAAAGCATTAAAAAGTCAAAATATTTCAATAAACAAGTTTCAGTAATTCAATTTATAACAATTATAACTAAACCTATTAAATTTTTTACAATGCCAGCCCTTAGTTTTTTAAAACAAGTACATTTCTTACTGATGACAACTAAGTGGTGTCTGTCATTTTATCATACAGTAGTTCCATCCATTCACTATACTTTTCTAATCAATTCTACATGCAAATACATGATTTTAATGTTTTTGGTACTATTCCTGTATGTTTGCTATCAAAATACATTAAACTAAAAAAAAAAACAATGTCAGCCAAGTTCCAGGTTTCTCAAAATGACACTGTTTGCATTATATACCACCAAATCCCACTAAAATGAATAGTTATTTAATTTTTAATATTAGTAATTATAATACAACCTAACAGGAATTTTTCCTTTGTTAATTATTCTCTAGTAGCTATTTTTAGTAGTATTGGCCCCTGGAAGATGATTGGGAATTTTGTGGATTTGTGTGGGGTTGTCACAGTGATTCAGGGATGCCATTAGGCCAGCTGTCCTGATGCCTAAGTTCAATAGGTCCACTCGATTTAATACCTACCCCAGTGCTTGGTGCTTCCAACTCCTGGTCTTCTCAGAGATCTAGAGGAAAAGTTCCCTATTGCAAACATTTTAAGTTGTAGCTTACTTTCTTTTGTCGGGTCAGCTACCGCTTGTCTGTCTGACTTAAACGTTTGTTGAAATCACTTATCCTCTGATGTTTTCTCTCCCATCTCTCTTCCATAGGGCATTTGTACCTTTTTTTTTTCCTTTGCTGTCAATCCAGTGGTTCAAAGGAAGAAGAGATCACCAAGTGATCTATCTGCTGTGCTTAACAGTTCAATGGGAGATAATATTGCCTCCTAGAATTTGTAGAAATCATTTTAGTTGGTTTTGGTTGTTACGTATACTGGCTGGTGTACTTGCAGTTAGTGCTTATTTAGGGCTAGATCTGCTAAACACACTGCCACGTGTGAGGTCATCCAAAATGCCAGTGGTATTCATAGTTATCTGTTCATCCCACCCTTTTATTAACTCAGTATAAACACTATGTTTAAACACTAACATTTACTACAGCTGAGAGTAATGTGTAATCTTATTCATTACTATTTCTAAAGCTGAGCTTTTTGAAACTAATTTGCATTCAAAAATAAAAGTAAAGGGACTTCCCTGGCAGTCCAGTGGTTAAGACTTCGCCTTCCAATGCAGAGGGAGCCGGTTCTATCCCTGGTCAGGGAGCTAAGATCCCACATGCCTCGTGGCCAAAAACACCAAAACATAAAAACAGAAGCAATGTTGTAACAATGGTCAGGGAGCTAAGATCCCACATGCCTCGTGGCCAAAAACACCAAAACATAAAAACAGAAGCAATATTGTAACAAACTCAATAAAGACTTTAAAAATGGTCCACATCAAAAAAAAAAAAATCTTAAAAAAAAAAAGAAATAAACAGCGTCATGGCTCCTTATTAAAAGGAAGAACACACTGGATAAATTGTTTTCTTACTCTAAAGTTCAGCTTTGCTACATGTGTTTTCTTTATATTAACAGATATTTTGGTAAAAGACCTCAGTGGGATTGCAGAGGGGCCTCAAATCTTAATGAACTTCATCAGCTATTAAGTGACATAATGATTAGAAGATTAAAGGCTGAAGTTTTAACCCAGCTGCCCCCTAAAATCAGACAGCGTATTCCATTTGATCTTCCAGCAGCGGCAGCCAAGGTGAGAACCCGTGTTTGATTGAGAGTCTTATTTGAAATCATTTTAAATTATACTGTGAAAGATAGCACATATTTCATTTTTCACAGAAGGAAAAGTCCACTTTCTTAAAATAGGTTTAATTAATAGAGCCATATGAATTGGCTTTGTATCATTTCAAGAAGAGAGCAGGAAGAATTTAAATTTAGTCATCAAATAATGTGAAAAGATTTAGTATCTTAGTCATTAAAAAATATATTTCTGCTAAATAGAGAAAAAAACACTTCACCTGCAACATAGACTTAGTATTAAGAATTCTAAGGGAGACGCAAGAGGGAAGAGGTATGGGGACATATGTATATGTATAACTGATTTACTTTGTTATAAAGCAGAAACTAACACACCATTGTAAAGCAATTATACTCCAATAAAGATGTTAAAAAAAGAATTCTAAGTATATGTAGGGTGTGAAGCCCAATAATTATCAAGGGAAGTTCTTTTTCTTGCTGTAGGATTTTTTTTTTTTTTTAAAGTACGAGTAGCTGTCTTCTAGGATAATTTGGATCCAGCCCTCTGTTCTTGAAATCCTGAAGCTCTGTGATCATGTTGTAAGATGTAAAGTTCAACATATTAGAAACCAGAATTGGTAATACAAGATTAGGCAATCCTTGTCTACATTTACTTTTGGGGAGTACAGTGCTTTTATAGTCTCTGAAATTTCTTCAAATCTGGATATAACTTTGTCAACAGAGACTGTTTATTGCCTTGTTTTGTCTTGAAAGCTGAGACTAAGAATTTTGTAAACATTGAGCAATATATTATTGGTAAAATAAAAACGATCTGATTTTCTGTATCCATTATTTTAACAAAAGAAAAATAAGAGTTAATATATGACTATGTTACATTTTATTTAACTAATATTCCCCGTCTTTATGCTTATTTAAATAAATTCAGTGCTTTTAGTAAAAAATGCTTTGCTACCATATATATTTTTGCTACTGTGAGTTCTTTAAGTTTTTACATAAAATTTTTATTTTATTTAAAAATTTTCTTAAATTTTTATTTTTACTTGACTACATGCTCCTCTGTAAGAGAAGGCTGCAGTTGTTTGATATATGATGTTAGCAAAGGGCTTGGTTTCCTCCCACACCTTGTCATTGCTTTCTATCATTAGCGTAAACATGTGTCTGACCTACATCCACACTGATGTTTTTTAAATCAACACACTGGCACCTATGGGAATTTTTCTTCATATATATGTATTTCTGTATAAAAAAATAAGTAGGACATGATTCATTATTGCATTAATTGCTATGTTCTTTATGCTGTATTTCTAAACATTATTTTCTCCTACATAGGAATTGAATTCCAGCTTTGAAGAGTGGGAAAAATTAATGAGAACTCCAAATTCAGGTGCCACCCAGACTGTCGTGGGGTTGTTTACTCGCATGTTTAAACAAACTGCTATTGCCAAGGTACTCATTGCTGGGCCATCATGTGTTTGTCTTGATACAAATTATTTAATGTATTTAATTTTTTTAAATTATGCAGCTTATTTGCATACTGCAACATGTCTTTTCCGTTTAATTTTTAATCTCTATTATGGAAAAATTCAGACATATTCAAAGTAAACAGTAGTATAATGAACACTATTATACCTGTTCATATATCGATCCTTTTCTATATATGGGTATACTTTGATGAGGGAGTATAATATATATTACACTTTCTCATTTAAAGGACTTATATATATTCATGTTTGTTGCCAGCTTTTTCCATGGTGTTCCTACATAATTGCTACAAATAATCTTTTTTTATGTAAGTCAATCATTTTTAATTGGTATTATGTTTTTAGATCCCTACAGATAGATGTGTTCACATTCTGTTTGTCCAAAACTGCAAATTAGAGTTTTTAAATCTCAGTATGACTCTCAAGTAGACGCATCACACATTGTCTGCTGTTTTTACCGGCATGGTTGAACTTATACATACTAATGAGTGTCATCTTTCTCCAATTCTGAGATCTTTTATAACATAATTTTTTTTAATTTTATTTATTTTTGGCTGCGTTGGGTCTTTGTTGCTGCATGCGGGCTTTCTCTAGTTGTGGCGAGCGGGGGCTACGCTTCATTGTGGTGCACAGGCTTCTCATTGTGGTGGCCTCTCTTGTTGCGGAGCATGGGCTTTAGGCGCACAGGCTTTCAGTGGTTTTGGTTCGCGGGCTCTAGAGCCCAGGCTCAGTAGGTGTGGCGCACGGCCTTAGTTGCTCCACAGCACGTGGGATCTTCCTGGACCAGGGATGGAACCCATGTTCCCTGCATTGGCAGGCGGATTCTTAGCCACTGCACCACCAGGGAAGTCCCTATAACATAATTTTTTTTTTCTCTATAACATAATTTTTTAAAGAGAGGTTTATTGAGGTATAATTCACATACAGTGAAATTTGTCTTTTTAAAACATATTGTTTGATGAGGCTTGACAAATACATATAGTCAGTTACCACTACAATCAAGGTAGAGAATATTTGCATTACCTCCAAAAGTTTCCTCATGCACCTTTGTAGTCATTTCCGTCACATCTCCCTCTAGACGTTGGTGGTCACAGATCTGCTTTCTATCACTATAGTTTTGAATTTTCCAGAATGTCGCAAAAATGGAATCCTACAGTATGTAGCCTTTTGTCTGGCTTATTTCACTTAGCATAAAGCTTTTGAATATTGATCCATTAGTTTTTTCATTTATATTGCTGACTGATATTCCAATGTATGGATACATAAATATTTATATATCTATATTAATATAACAATTTTTTAAAATTCCTTTACCACATAATGGCCATTTGGCATAGTCTCAGTTTGGGCTATTGTGAATAAGCCTGTTTTAATCATTCATGTACAAGTCTTTGTATAGACGTATTTTCATTTCACTTGAGTAAATAGCTGGAACTGGGACTGCTGGGTCATATGGAAAGCATAGATTTAACTTCATAAAAAGCTGTGAAATTGTTTTTCCAAGTGCCATATTTTTGCATCCCTACTGGCAATGTGTCAGAGTTCCAGTTGTCCTATATCTTTGTTAGCACTTAGTATTGTCAGTCTGTTTAATTTTAGTTATTTTTCTCAGTATGTAGTAGTATCTCATGATTATTTTAACTTGCCTTTTCTTAATGACTAATGATATTGAGCATATTTTCATGTGCCTTTTAGCCATTCATTTTTTTTTTTGGAAAAGTGTTCATATCAAGCCCATATTTATATTGGGTTATAAGAGCCCTTGATATATTTTGGAAACAAATTCTCTAACATATATGTCATTTCCAAATAATTCTTCTAAGTCTGTAGATCCCATTTCTGTTTTTTTTATATATATATGTAAATTTATTTATTTTATTTTATTTATTTTTGGCTGCGCTGGGTCTTTGTTGCTGCGCACAGGCTTTCTCTAGTTGCAGACAGTGGGGGGCTACTCTTTGTTGCGTTACTCAGGCTTCTCATTGTGGTGGCTTGTTCAGGGTGGAGGTTCAGTTTGTTTTCTGATTTTGTGGGAGTTTTGTTTGTTTGTTTGTTTGTTTGCATATGGATTTTCAGTTGTTCCAGCACTCTTTGTTGGAAAGACAGTTTTTCCCTCATTGAGTTGTCTTGGCACCTTCATAAAAAATCACTTGGTTATATATGTATAGGTCTGTTTCTGAACTTTCTATTCTGTTTCATTGATCTATACATCTGACCTTACAGAATACTACATTGGCTTGATTACTCTACCTTTATAATAAGTCTTGAAATCACATGGTGTTCACCCCTACTTTATTCTTATTCAAAATTGTTTTGTCCCTTATAAGTCCTTTGCTTTTTCTTACGAGTTTTTAGAATTAGCTTAAGTATGTACAATTTTGATTGGAATTGTTTTGAGTCTATGGATTAATTTGTAAGAATTGACTCCTTTTTTTAAATTGAGATACAGTTGACATACAACGTTATATTAGTTTCAGGCGTACAACATAATGATTTGATGCTTGTATATATTGCAAAATGATCACCACAGTAAGTTCAGTTAACCTCCATCACCATGTATACTCACAAAATTTTTTTCTTGTGATGAGAACCCTTAAGATCCACTTGTTTAGCAACTTTCAAACATGCAACACAGTGTCATTAACTACTGTCACCATGCTGTAGATTACGTCCCGTGACCCATTTATTTTATAACTGGAAGTTTGTACCTTTTAACCTCCTTTGCCCATTTCACTCACTGCCCCCAGCCCCTTGCCTCTGTCAGCCACCAGTCTGTTCTCTGTATCTGTGAGCTTGGTGGGGTGGGGGTTGGAGTTGTTTGTTTTTTAAGATTTCACATATAAGTGAGATCATAAGGTATTTGAGTTTCTCTGTCTGATTTATTTTGCTTATTAGCATAATACCCTCAACAATACATGTTGTTGCAAATGGCAAGATTTCTTTCTTTATTATGACTCAATTATATTCCATTGTGTATATATATACATACCACATGGTTTTTTTTTTTGGCTGCTTTGGGTCTTCGTTGCTGCGCGTGGCTTTCTCTAGCTGCGGTGAGTCGGGGCTATGCTTCATTGCGGTGCGCGGGCTTCTCACTGCAGTGGCTTCTCTTGTTGCAGAGCATGGGTTCTAGGCATGTTCGCTTCAGTAGTTGTGGATGGCAGGCTCTAGAGTGCAGGCTCAGTAGATGTGGTGCATGGGCTTAGTTGCTCCACGGCATGTGGGATCTTCCCGGACCCAAGATTGAACCCATGTCTCCTGCATTGGCAGGTGGATTCTTAACCACTGCGCCATCAGGGAAGTCCCCTATATACCACATTTTCTTTATCCATTTATACATCAGTGGACACTTATGTTGTCTTGGCTATTGTAAATAATGCTGCAGTGAACATGGGGGTGCATATATCTTTTCGAGTTAGTGTTCTCATTTTCTTGGCTAAATACCTGAAAGTGGAATTGCTGGATCATACGGAAGTTCCAGCTAAATTTTTGAGGAACCTCCACACAATTTTCCATATCAACTGCACCAATTTTCATTTCCACCAATAGTGCACAAGGGATCCCTTTCTATACATTCTCGTCAGCACTCGTTACTTCCTCTCTTTTTGATAATAGCTGTTCTAACAGGTGTGAGGTGGTATTGAGTATTGACTTCTTAATATTATTCAGTCTCCTGATCCATGAAGAGAGTATCTCTCTCTTTTGATTTAGGTCTTTAATTTCTCCCAGCAACGCTTTCTAGTTTTCTTGAATACATTTTGTTAGATTTATTTCTAGATATTTCATGTCTTTTTATGCTCTTGTAAATAGTACTTTTTTTTTTTGTAAGTAGTACTTTTAAATTTAAATTTCTACTTTTTCATTGCTAAATACAGGATTTTCATTGATTTTTGTATATTGGTCTTTTATTTTGTAACCTTGCTGCACTCACTTAATAGTTCTTATGGCTTCTTGGTAAATTCTTTGGGATTTTTTTACATAGACATCATTTTGTCTGCATGTAAAGGTACTTTTATTTCTTCCCTGTAATCTGTATGCCTTTTATTTATTTTTGTTGCCTATCCCATTGAAGGAACAAAAGTACAATTTTGAACAGAAGTGGTAGGGTTGAATAGCCTTCCCTGCTGCCAGTCTTAGAAAGAAAGCATTCAGTCTTTCACCATTGATTATGATGTTATCTTTAAGATTTTTACTGATGCCCTTTCCTAGGTTGAGAAAATTTCCTTCTTTTCCTAGTTTGTTGAGAGGAGAGATGAGACATATAAAATGTTTTCCTTTGGCAGAGCAGCAGTAAGAACGTAGCTACCATAAAAGTGGATAAGAAGAAAACAGATAAAATGTAACAAAATTATAAAAGCTGAGCGTAGGCTGCCATGACAGTCCAAAATAATAGGAGTTCCTGACAGAGGGAGTCCATACTCACTCACAAGCTTTATTTCCATTGGCCTCTACCACATGCTGACTAGGAGATGAGAGAGCACCCCTACTGGTAGCGTACAAGCACAATACCCTACCTATTTCCTGGACCCTTTTCTCAACTCACACTAATCAAAAGCCTTAAGCCACTGTGAGAGAGGTAAAGTCCCCCTCCCCGAGCCTCCGAAGTCCAGTTCAGGATCAACTGCTTCTGGGGGCTGAACAGAAACAAAAGCCATCTACACCTGGGAGTTGGGCAGGAAACCCTATTGAAATCAGGACCTTTATTAAGACAGAAATCTGTTACTACTGGAGGAGAGGCAGGAACCTCTGTCCTGCCCAGGACCACCCACAGTTATATGACATAGTTTGGTTGTCTTAGGGGAGCGGGACAGAAACACCAGGAAAGCCACACCTCCAAGACTCAGCTGGAGCAAAGGGCCTACCTTATACTGATGTGCTACCTGTAGATCCAAGAAATCTTCCGTCCATTATCATGAACTGAACAATGAGAAACCATCAAGATTAATGTAGTACTGGGGGAGAGAG